TACCAGGTGGGTGGAAAACCCCTGGGGCTATCGGGAAGGAGAACTTGGGAACAGGAGGTGAGCCCAGGGGGAGAGGAGTTACCTGCAGGGAGTCTCAGTGAGGTTTTCCCTCTCCCACCTCTGCAGAGGCTTCACCCACAGACACTGTGAGTTGTGCACTCGGGGACACCACTGGTTTAAGCTGATCTGCAGCCACGGGGAGGAGGTGACAGCCAGGGATGGGGTGGAGGGGGGGTAGCAGAGCCTTACAGAAGGATCTTGGATTCCCAGGAGGAATAGCCTCAGCTGTGAGAGGTCTCCCCCATCAAACCCTGGTAGGTGGGGAGGACTTGGAGCAAGTCACCCCCAAACACTTCAGAAACCAGAGGCTCCACCCCAAAGAGGGCTCACTAAAACCTGCAGCCTCCCAGCCATTAAATCACAGCATTTCTCAGGAGGGTTCTCCCATCCACCACATCCCCTCTCCCCCGCAGAGGGTGGGTCAGTGAGCCCTTCCCCAAACCCTGTACCCCCCAGCTCCTCAGAACCATGTGTGTTGGGGTCCTTCCCCCCTGAAAAAGCAGCAGCATATGGAGAAACCAGCTTTCCTTTACACCTAAAAAAAAAAACAACCACCAAACCACCACCCAGCAGAGTCTGTTCTGAGCTCGGCAGCACGCGAAGTGTGCACACCAAGACAAGAAAGACAGCTCTTCTCCTCCAGAAACTCAGCACAAATAAAGCATGGGATAAACACCTGGACACGGGCCCAGCTACACAGTTGTTCCTCTTTCCCTTCCTGCCCCCCCTCCTTCTCCTCCCCTCCCCCTTTCCACCCCCTTCTCCGTTTTCCACCCTCCCCAAACTTGGAAGATGGCTTTATTAATGTAGTAGGCTGCTACCAGATGGAGCAGAGAGGGATGCCAAGAACAGATCACTGGCTCCTTGTGAAGCTCGGAGCCGCTCACTAACTTTTTCCAAGCAGAGGAGTTCGCCCAGAGGTACGGAGCCGCTTGCTCTGCGTGGAAAAAGCGAGGATTTCAACAGGGGAAAAAAATAAAAAAAATCCCCCAGGGAGGATCGTTGGGTCATGGCCAGGAATTCAAGGTTTTGCAGCTCCCGTTCAGAGCCACCGTGCCCCAGTCCCACGGGGTGCTGGCTCTGGATAAGCTGGGAAGAGGAAGCATCCCGAGGCAGGGAAGAGGAATGTCATCAAAAAAAATAAAAAACATTAAAAAAATCCCCCAGGGAGGATCGTTGGGTCATGGCCAGGAATTCAAGGTTTTGCAGCTCCTGTTCAGAGCCACCGTGCCCCAGTCCCACGGGGTGCTGGCTCTGGATAAGCTGGGAAGAGGAAGCATCCCGAGGCAGGGAAGAGGAATGTCATCCCCGAGATCCCAGGACACACGGCCGGGTGGGGTTTCTCCCCAAGGAAAAGTCAGCTCCGGGAAGGGAAAGCTGAAGTCACACAAGTGCAGCAGATGGAGGGAGAGGGGACCCCGCCGACACACCTACGTAAGATATTTTTGGCAGCCTGGCTTAGCCTTTAGCCCCTTTTTGAGGAAAAAAAAAAATAAAATGCAGTTTCACTGTGCTGCTACGTCTCCACATCCCCTTTTTTCCTTCTGCCCCGAGCCTGAGCTGCAGCAAAGGTGAGCAGAGGGTCTCGGCCACCAGCCCCGTGCCCCCCCTCCACGTGCTCAAACAAAGGATGCTGCAGGGATGCTGCACGTCAGGGCTGCAGCTCCTCGCTGGGGGAGGAGGGACTGCTGAGCAAGTAGGCCATTCACTTCCTGCCAGCCAGTCTGCAGCAGTTAGGAAATTTTAAAAAATTAAGTAAAAAAAATATAATAATCCAGCACTGTGGGGTGTGCAGGCAGCAGAGACAGCCCCTCCGACAGAGCGGGATGCACGGGGCTGGGGGGCTTTCCAAGCAGAGATGCATCCAACAGGGCAACAGCGTGTAGATCAGGAGGAATTCGGGCAAAGCCCCAGCTCTGAGAAAGTCTGGCCTTGGTGTCCTCAAGGGAGGGGAGCAGGACAGCCCCGTGGCCGAGACAGAGGTGGACAAGGAGGCTCTCTCCCAGGATCCTGCTCCTCCTTCTCCTCCCCACCTCTCTGCATCTCAAGTCATGTCTCTGAAGACACTGACTCCCCCGATGGAATATACAGCTCTGAACTCTCAGATGGGATTTTCAAGGCACAGATTTGTGCCACACACCGAGGCAGAGCTGTCTGGGAGGAGGGGAGCAGAGCCCTACTCTGTGGGTACCACCCCCATTGGGGAGTTGACCCTCAGCATCAGCCCTGCCTGCTGCAGCACAGCTCTGTTCCCCCTCCAGCACAGCAAATAAGATATTAAAGCCTATATAAAATGCATCTTTGGGAGCACTGGTCCCCTTGGCCCCACACACAATCTTGCCTCTCCCTGCCAGCCCACCCCTCACTTGCAGAAGCCTCAAACTTCACCCCGATACTGCCCTTCCTCCACTTCGACCTCTTCCAGTCCAAAGTGCTCCTGTGAAGGGACGAGCCCAACCTTGAGAGCTGCTTCCAGTGAACCACCAGTCACCCCAGTACCTCCAGCTTAAGTGGAAAGAGGAAGGGTGAGGAGGGTCACGTCTGCCACCGAGCCAGTTCCCCAGGCTGCTGGGTGCGGGAGGGCAGAGTTAAGCAGCCACCTTCTTGAAAGGGCTTCTCACAGATTTATTGCCGGGGCAATGTCAGATAGGGAGGAAGCCCAGCCCTCTTCCTCTTGCTCTCGTGAAGAAAGAAACTCAGGAATTTTGGCAGGCGGCCACGGCTCAAACAGAGGAGACCCTGTGCTAAGGCATGTTCAGAAAAAGCAGCCTCTTCCCTGCCAGGATAAACGTTGCTTTTCCACCACCCCCCCCTTCTTGGGGGACGGGAGATGTTGCCCCTCAACTCCAACACCAGCAAAAGCTACTGGAGAAGGGTCAGGGTCCTTCTGGGCTGTACTTTGCCAGACACACACCTTGCCTGGACGTTTCTTCCTCCCCAGTATATTCTGGGGGACACCAGTCGAGGAGGAATCAACCCCACATCCTTCAGCTTCCCATCACCCTGGGGCTGGGGGCATCGCAGCCCCCACCCCAGCAAAAAAGGAGCAAAGCCCCACGTGCCAGCAGTTTCCAGCTGCTCTCACCTCCCTTTGCTTTATAAAACGGCCAGGAAAGGCAGGAAGAACGTTTAATGCCAGTTTCTGTGCCCAATTTGGACACTGGGGGCTGCCCTGGGGTAGAGGGGAGACAGACAGACCCCTCAGGGAGGCTGTTAAAGGGTTAAGCCAAGGAGCCCGCATCAAAGGGAGCTCTCAGCAGAGGGGGTTGAGAAACTGAGATGGGTCGAGGTTGCGCAGACTCCTTGGAATCTCAGGAATTTCCCATTATTATCCCACTTCCCTTCCAGCAGCCTGGAGGGAGGGAGCACAAGAACAGGACCCCCAGCCCATCCCTGTGACCAGGGGCAGAAGCACCAGGGATGGACATCAAGGCTCTGCCAGGGCTGGGATCGGGGTGACCACGGGCCAGAGAAGGAACCTCTGGTTCCAGACACCAGGAAGAGCCCAGGGGTCTCATCTCCTGCACCTCCCTGCAATCCAAGGGCTCAGGCTCACACATCCCACAGTCACAGCAGGTTGAGAGACTCACACAGTCCAAGAACAAGCGTCCCTCTAACCAACAGTTCACCTCCTCTCAGACCACAGGTTTCCCCCTCACAGCACTCCAGGAAATTCCCAGTTTCCCACCCCAGAGGCTGGAGCTCCAATAGTGCCAGTTTCCCCCCATTTAACCAGATAACCAAGAGTTCTTTTCTGCTCTCCACGCCATTGCCACCCCCCAACCATCACCAGCTGAGACCTGAATACCACAAGCCTCATCCCAGTTCAACAGGAGCTTTGACTGGGACATCCCCAAGGTCATCACCATCATCAACACCCAACAGCAGCAATAAACACCCTAAAAAAAAAGGGGGGGCTACAGAAGCAGGAGGTTTTTGCTGAGGCACCGCATGGCTGACGGTTCCACGGCTTCTCCTTCTCACTTGCCTTAGACATTAGCAGGGTAATGCCCATCTTACAAGGGTGTTGTCAGGATTAATGTTTTTAAAAGTGCTCTGTGAACAGACCGAGTGCTAAGCAGCATTATGGGATCTCGTTTTCCTTCTAAGAAGGGTTGGAGCATAAGAAGCGGCTACAAAAGAAATCTTAATGTCTAGAAAGCAGCTTTGCAATAAGAAACACGTCAGGTGCGCGGAGCTCGGCGCTTCCCTGTGGGCTGAGAGGCACCAGCACTCATGGTGCAGAGCTTTCCATTGCCTAATTAAGGGTCCTTCTTGATAAGGATTAAAAAAAATGGGGGTTGGTGAACACCCACTGCTCAGAAACCACCTGAAAGATGGAGGAAAGCGAATTTGTGTGTGGCACAAGCAGCAGAGAAGGATCTTAACCTTCAAGCTGGCTTTACCTCCAGGTGGATTTACCTTCATCACACCCAGGAGGTGATTCCAGTGGATGCCCTTGGCCAGGAGCCCAGCAGGGCACAGGCTGCAGGGACACCCGTGTCACACACCCCATTCCCCCAGTGCAAAAGGGCATTTCTCCTCCCCCCAAACACCTGTGTTTGGTCAGGGGTGGCATAAACACCTTTTTGTCTCCCCTTCTTTACAGGGACACAGATTAAGATCAGCTCCATGTAAATGCCTGCCTGCATTTGAATTTTATGCACTTTTTGTCCGCCCGGGCTGGAGCTGGAGGGCAGCCACCAGCTGGCATTTAAGCTGGGAAATGCTGGTTTATTCCCAGCATTAATTAGCCCGTGCGACCTCTTCAGCCGGGGCTTCACATGCTCTCCCAGAAACCACTGGGAAAGAGCTTCCGCAGAGCTCAGGGTGCCCCCCACAACCCTCATTTCAAGGGGGTGAGGACCAATGTTTAAGAGGGTCCCAAAAAATCCCGCAGCCTCCCCCGAAGCCAAGGGGAGCCGGCGGCAGAGACTTACGCGTTGCAGTACGGCTTCTTCTCGTAGCCCTTGTAGTTTTTCATGTTTAGGGTCATCTTGCAGGTCTCGCAGTGGAAACATGCTTTATGCCAGAACTGGAAACAGAGACAGGAGAATCATTAACACCAGGGAACTCACAAAACGGGGCCACGTCCCGCTGGAATCGCCGCAACGCAAACTCCTGGCTCCTCCAGCCCGGAGACGTCCGGGACAAAAACCACAAAACCCAGAGGACAAACAATATTCCCACCAGTTCAGGACACAAGTAAATCCCCCCCAAACTCTCCCAACACATCTTATCTCTCAATTTTGTGACTTGCACTACAGTAGCATCTTCCCACCTTATCTCCTGGCCAGGAATTCGTCTGGCTCAGCCAAGTCACAGAATCTTCGTGGTTGGAAGGGACCTTGTGAGACCATTGAGGCCAAACAGGGGCCAGGAGAAGCCTCCTGCTACGAGAGAGGCTCGACATGAACCCCCGTGAGCAGAGAGCTGGTCAGCAGAGCCAACAGCTGTGGTTTGAAGGCTTCAAAGTTGCTGCTTTAAGGGTTTTTGGGGGTTTTCTGCTGATGTTGGCCAAGAGATGGCCAGCGGAGCAGGTCAGGTGGGGCTGCACACAGACACCACGCCAAGGAAGCGAAGACGGAGAAGAAAAAGGTTCTCATGAGAACCAGAGAGCCCAAAGCGGAGGGCTCAGAGGTCCTCACCGCAGACACCACCCTTCTGCTGCACCTGAGGTGGTGAATCTTCACAAGCCCTACAGCCCCAGGGGGTGCAGAGCACATCTCAGCCCCCCCTCTCCCCACCGTGGGGCTGTCACAACCCATGTCTGCTCTGGGCAGGGCTGCAACCCAACACGGGGCAGGGGGAAGAGCCACAAGAAGAAGAGCTGCTGGCCTGACCTTCTGGTGAAGGCAGTTTTTGCATCCTCTGCCCAACAGCAGCCCCATCAGCAGCTTCAGGTTGACCCCACCACCAGCTCACCCAAGGTCTGACATCCAACCAGAGCTGGGCAGCACCTCAGCTCTGCTTTAACCACCCAGCCAGGCTCAGACCCCGGGCTGAAGGCACAGACCCCAAAATTCATGACCCTACATCACGGGTTGCAACACCCAATGAGCAGTGTTTTAAGGTTTTAGGGTTACTATGGAAGGAACCAGTTCCACTGGGCATTTAAGTGACCCAGGTGGTTTTCCAGGCTGGCAGGAGCCAGCCCAGAGCTGTCCCCCAGCAATTCTGCAGCTCAGCCCCAGGCAGACCAAAGGCTGACACCCCACCAAGTCACCAAGTGACCAGACTTGGTGCTTCTTCTGGTACCCACAGCCATGGGGACTGGGAGGACAGGGGGGTCCGATGTGACTGCTCAGGGACCAGCCCAGGAGCAGGGACACGGGGAAAGCACAGCCCAAAGAGACACCTTCACTCATGGGAGGAAGGCAGTGCCACCACGGGGCTGTCCCCCACAAACCACCCAGCATCACCCACCAAAGCCAGGGTGAGAAGCAGCCGAAAGCCACGTTAGCAGCTCAGAACACCAAGCAGATTAAAGTAAAAAAGAAAAAAAACACCAAAAAAAACCCAATAATAAGTCATTTCCACCCCTGCAACTGCTTGGCTGGGTCCGTGCTGCTGCCAGGAGATGGCAAGAGCCAAACCTATGCCCTTGTGCCACCTCCCCACAGGTACCACACCCCGGAGCAAACACCCCCGCGGCTGGAGGAGACGATGACTCAGCCCAGAAGGGCAATTTCCACCCATTTCAGTTGCTCAGAGCAACATATTTGTTCTTTTCCTTCAGTTACACGAGTTCCTCCAGAGCTCGCCTCTAACAGCTGGGGGGGGGTTTCTCCCCACACCAGGCTCGCAGTGGGATTATTCCCCCCCCAACCCCATTCCCAGCTTCCAGCCTCCCCACGGACAAGACCCACAGACTTCTTTGGGCATCATGAAAGTTGCAGCCTCTCGCTTGAGTTCCCACCCCCACAATTAGAGGTAATTAAGAGACCTCTCTCCAAGCCCCTCAGCCCTTCAGGGCGCTGTGAAAGCTGTTCCCAAATACCAGAGATGCCACTGGAAATCTGTGGCCATGAACTGACAGACGGGATGACTCCGGAGCATCTTCCTCCCGGGAATATCCCAGCTCCCAAGAGCCCAGGAGGGTCTGGCCAGGCCAGCTGTCCCCTCGCCCAGGGCATCCTCCACGCCAGGCGCAGAAGGGATGCACCCAGGCGGCCTTTACCCCCAGCCAGAGAGCAATTAATGAGTATTTTTATTGCTGTTTGCATTAAGCACTGCTCAGTGGAGGAGTTTCTGCCCTGGGGCTCTTCCAAAGCCCTGAGCGGGCAGCTGAGCTACCTGGAGAGCACCATCCCCATCTCCAAGCCTCCATGTCCCTACGCTCCATCTCGCTGCTGATGGAGCTAAACCAGCCCTGAAAGGAGATCTGCACCACAGCCCGGGCACAGGGAACAGCAATTGTGTCTCCTTCCAGCCAGGCTGCAGCTCAGCCCCCAGCACGGCCGTGGAGAAGGAGGACACACGTTTCAGATAGGTTTTTAGATGAAGCACAAACACCCCTGCTTTTAAATACCCCGGTTCCAAGTGCTCCAAACATCCAGAGGCCACCCCAGGGGCTGGGCACCACAGGTCCCTGGTGGCCAAAGGGATGGAGCAGGGACAGGAGCAGGGATGGGAGCCCTTTGAGCATCTTTGCCACTCGTAGCAGCCCAGGCCTGTGGCCAGAGCCCACAGCACATCCCCCTGTACCCGTTTAGGGCTGATGCCACGGCCACACAACGTCCCTCCACCAAGCAAAGCCACCACCCTACACCCAGGAGTGAGCACCACACAAGACCCAAGGGTTTGAGGAAAACATAAGGAGAGGTTCCTTGGGCCAAACGCAAACCCTTGATGGGGTTTGACACCCTGAAACAGCTCATTCCAGCTTCTACTCATTTAATAAATAAAAAAAACCCCAAAATCCAACCTAAACTCCTGTGACATCAGCCCTACGTGGGTTCAGCAGTTGCAGCTGCAACCACCAAACCCCGCTCCGGCGGCGCAGGGGGTGTTTACGGGAAACAAGGAGGCTCTTCCAGCCACCTCCTCCCCAGCCAGAAACCCCGGGGAAAATTAATATTGGGGGGGGGAGGAAGCTCTTTGTTGGTGGGGGGGTGTGGAGGAAAATAAAGGCAGTAAGCCCCCTAAAAGTCCAAGGTGTCACCCCTGTGCCCCCCAACACCCGGAACAAGCACCCTTTGGGATGCTGCCAGCTCAGAGGCAGGGCGCTGGTGGCACGGGGGGGGG